CTTCCATTCCCAACTCCTTGACCTCCCCACATGTAGCAGCACCAGGATGCCCAGTACGGCCAGTCCATAACATGTTCCTTGCTTCTCACACCTCTCCCTGTTCCTGCAAGGGCTCTCCAAAGGCCGCAGTTTTCCCCGGGGCATTCTCCACACACTGCAGAGACGCCTGTAGCCCCCTGCTGCCAAAACCTGGACACCAACAGCCAATGCATCAAACTGCATAAAAAAAGTGTGTAAATACTTTGAGAATACCAAATTATTCAGGGAGCAAAAATGAGGAACAGTGCAGAATTGCATAAGTATCTTATGGGACTGAGTGCCTCAGCAACTAACTGGGAGATAAAATCCAGCACAGATAAATGTAAAATGATGCATACAGGGGAAAAAATCCTAATTTCACATCCATGATGATCCAGACTGGCTATTCTCTTTTATGAACCAGAGTTTTGAGCTTCTGAACATGCAAGCATCAGCTGAGATTACCTGACTTCCCAGAAACAGTCAAAAAAAGCTAGCCAGTTGTTCAGTAATTACTGAAAAAGGATCACAAAAGAAAGAAAGAAACAAACAAACAAAAAAAAAACTAACTGTGGCACTATATAAGCCCACAGGGCAATGGCATTTTAAACACTGCATACAGACCGGTCCCGCCTAATTGCCAAAGGGCGAAGGGCAAGAAAGACAGTTAGCTCTAAACAAAGACAACCCTGGCAAGATGTATGGAACAGTTATAAACCCCAACCACCATGGATAAGAATCATTCTAATATGGCACTAGGTGCCGTGAAATGAGGTCAGCAGAAGGTAGGTTGCAGGCAACAGAAGGCAGTGGTCCTTTGCACGTAATTAGTGTGTGAAATGTCCTGCCATGGTATGCTAAAAGTTTACATAGGCTCAAGAGGAGCCAGAGCAAATTACATGAAAAAGTAATCAAACTTCAAACCATAAAAACACCCCAGCTCCCTCTGAGCTACATAATATCTGTGGATTGAAGAATATTCTAAGGATACACCATGCCTGTTGTTGCCACCTGCATTTGATTTTGTCCACTATTAGAGAACACATACTGGACCACATAAGCCTAGGGTTTATCTAGGACTCTGAATTTCCGATTTTGTGTTTGTGCATTTTACATAAGGCTTTATAATAGCCAGCTTCAGATTCCACTTCTTCCTCAGACTTGGGTGATTTGGGACAAACCATTCCATCCAATGGTAGTAACATTACCTTGCTAGTTAGTTTCCTAAAAAAAAAAAAAAAAAAAAAGACAGACACTTCTCCAGTTCATGTCTATGTATGAACTTTGATAAGTTATTCCTAGCAGCTATGCAAAGAAGTGCAGAAAATACAGAAGCAACCAACTAACCAAACAGCTCACCTAGCCATGATAACCATCTTTACTGTACATAAAACAATATGGTTTGCAAAAGGACAACTTGACCCAATAGCGTGTTTGGAAAATTAAGTCTCTTTACTGTAGAAATATTGCAGCACCCTGAAGCAACTGAAACCTATTATGCAAGTGTTAATGTGCAGCAGTGTTAAAGTTCATATTGTATGTACATCATAAAAAAAAGGAAGCTTTCAGAAAAGGTTTCCATGTATTTTTCTTTGCAACATTTTTGTTTGAAGCCTGTGGTATTTCAAAGCATTTGAATGCTGCAAAATGGGAAAAAAGATTTTGTGCAATAAGAACACACAAAATCTCCTGTTGTATGTAAGACATGCTACCCTCAAAGATACAGAGCCTACATCAATCATACTTTTTTGTTTACTATGTTCGTCCAATCTTTCACACATAATCATGTCTGAATTTTCTTATTTCACAAGAATTGCCATTTTTTCCTGTTGCCATGCTTCCTGCAGAACTGAAGCAAGTTAACGTGGAAAGAACAAAAAGCAACATCTGAGCTCTCATTGAGTGTGCTAGGTATAACTTCTATTTATTTCACTTTTTGTCAAAGGACACATTTGCTCTTTATAAAGCTTTATGAGTAATGAGAACAATATCAATAACTTTTCTAACCAGATGGTGATGACAGTAAAACAATTTAAAAACACATCATTCTCTTTCTTTAGGAGATGTTTTATAAAACAGCATTTTGGAAGAAGCTTAACAATAGGTAATGCTTAGATAAAATGTAATAAAAATAGATGTGCTTTCAGCCAAATTCATATAGAAAACTATAAAGGTTTTTTTTTTTTTGATGCCTTATGAGATTACCCATAGTCTTACTAAAGAGAATACCATTTGTGAAAGAGTTGTAGTTTTATATATACACACAAAGAATGTCTACAGAAATATATTGGAAATGAGAAGTAATGAAAAGGCAAATTTTCCATAAAAATAAATAACACAGAGAAATATGGCCTACTTTCCTAGAAGAAGTCATTGCTTTAACAACAGTTCTGTATATTGCTCTACAGATATCTTTCATTCAATAAAAGAATTCCTTAAAACCTCCATTATAATACTTATGTAATGACATAGACTATGACAGTGCATTTTGATTAGCTCCCTTAGACCTCTCCTATACACATGACACTTCCAATGACTTCATCAAAATTTAGACTGGAACCAGGTGAGATGGTTATGCCTATACTGATCTGAATTCACACTGAGAATAAAAAATAAAAATTGCCTTAGAAGCTATGTTGCTCCTGTTAGCATTCCATTTCAGCTTCTAATATATGCATAAAAAGTTAAAAAAAATAAAAAAAAATCTTGGGGGAAAAAAAAAAGCATATATTACCATCTTCAACAATTCACATAGTGTTGGAAAAATACAATAGCGTGTAGTTTTAATTCAGTTCACGTAGCTAGAAGTAGAAAACTACTTATCTTTGTTCATGGAAGTTACTGCAAACTCATAAACTGTTTTAATGGAATATTCCATAGTGTATTCCACAGTTCAGGGACATGTTTCAGCAGAGATGCCTAACCACTGTAACCATCTAGAAACATTACCCAAGAAGAAAAGTTGAATTCTGCACAGTCCTTAATGCCATACACTTCATTGTAGCAGGATCAATGTCTGTTTCTAGGACACATACATATTCTCTTTTTTCTCATTAAGATAGCTCTGAAAAGCTGAGGATCTCAGGTGTGCTGTGAGCATACTAATAAATATTTAATTGAGCCTTAATTCACCATCAGATATAAAATCCATGAATTAACTGTGCAAATACTTTAAAGTAGCTAAGGCTTAAAAAAAAATACAATTTTATTTTCCATTAAATATTCTCTTTTTCTAATATTAACAAGTCCAAAGATTTCTTATTAGCAACAAAAAATAAAAAATAAACATAACGAATTAAAAGATTACTTTCCATCCAAATACTGAATATGTGGTATCTGTGTTTACAACTATCTGTTTAGCCTTTCAGTATTACCAGGCACTGCCCCATTTTGTCATGAGTGTGGGTTTTTTCATGGCAAAAGTATCCCACATACAGCATCTTCCTGCCTTGTTATAAAGAACTGATGAACTAAGCTAGGTATATTTAAAACATATAAAAAAGCTGATCAAAAAAAGCAAACCACAAAAGAGGAGTGTGAGGAAAGAAGAGATCATAACTAAAAAAATGAAGTAGATTTCTTTAGTTAAGAAGTCGTTCTTCTTACTAATACTTCTTTCATAAAAATAGGATTTAAAACACTACCACAGACACTATTAATGGATGAGGATAAAAATGTTATAACCAAAGCATTCCTTTTAGTGTGACTCAGGTTTATGGAGAAATAAAAATTCTAATAATATCTTCCATTCACTCTTGTCTCTATCAGCTTTATTAAATAGCATTGAAAGTGAGAACTGTAACTCTGGTGACCAAAGTCATGTTGTGCTACAATTCTGCAACTGAAGAAAGACATTTTACAAGTTTCTGAAGACTGCAGAATATCAGGGAAAAACGAAGAATGAGCTTGCTGTGTGTAGAGCTTGGTGGTAACTGTCCGAAGACAAGGTATATGTATGTATGTGAGCATCGAGGCAGTAGGAATCGGTAATAAGTTATGCAAAATGTTATCCTAAAGGGAGTGATCACAACATCACTGTGAGGGAATGGTGTGATTCCTCATTACATCTGTGCTGAAATTATGTTAGCATGGTAGAATATACATTTGATTTAATTTAAGACATTCAAACACATTTCATATAAGAGAGGTTCAAAGTCTCAGAGAAGCAACTTTGTCTTGTGCTGTCAAGGTCCTGTTTTTCTGAGGAACTGGACTAATTGTTCAAAAGTTTCCCTTCATTAAGTTCTGCTGTATTTGCTTACAAAAGCTATATGTTAACAAAAAGTGTGGCATATGGCAACAGCGTTTTTATCTGCATATTCTTGTTTTCTGCTCTTGGCCTCTTGCTTTCCATTTTATTATCTGCATGCTCTCCATGAGCAAAGTGATCCATCGACACTGTCTTAAACTTGTGAATTGACACCCACAGTTACCTAAGATTAAATCAGAACAGCTCTTCACTCATTTGTTACCTCCTTGTCTTGCCAACAATGGAGATAGACAGACATAAAGATTTATAGTGAAATCAAAATAAAAATCACTTTTCAAGATGTTGAATTATGGGATGGCAGCTGGCAAGAGATGTTATTAAATGTTATCTGTGCTGTATTATTCATCACTTTCCAAATGTGTACCCAGTCATCATTCAAATACTACAATGAAAACTGCAATTCTTTCTTTGTCACGAAGCAAGGTGACATTTCTGGGATAAGACCACTGTCTCACTGGGAATAGAAGGGGAACATAGACTTCCTTCGCATACTGCTGGCTTCTATTTTGCTGTGCACTACAGCCTGGTGCCTAAGCTCCCACAGCACAAAGCAATTGCCTATGCACTAGTAAGGTGCACCTAGCAATGACTCACATATAAGAATGCTGTGAAGAAAGAAACACTGTAAAACTATGCAGCTCCCCAGTGTCGCCATAACCTGTAACATGACCATTTCACTATCCTTCCTTTAGAGAGCAAAAAGATATGATCATCAACTTGGTTAAAACTTTATTTAAACTTCACAAACTATAAAAACGTCTTCTTCAAAAAGATAGCCATGTCCCACAAAGCAGTTTGCATTTTTTTCAAGTCCATTTCAGCAATAGATAAATCAGATGATCATGAAATAGCAAAAAAAATAAAATCACATTTTCTCAGGCAGGCACAGAAAGCATCACAATGTTGCCAGCTACTGGTGGGTGTAAACCCAACAGTTGCATTTGTGCTACCTTTGCACATGTTTTGGAGGCATACTTAGTACTGAGCAGTCTCCATGCCCTTATCAGTGCAAAACAGCAGCAGCAGCTGCAATTGGAAGTGCTAAACAGGCAGGTTTATGTGGTCATCCTGTCAACCTTCATAAGCTGTTAAAACTGAGCAATAAATGTGCTTATAACATATGCATATGACATGAAGTCAAGCACATGAAAAGTACATACATTAAGAATATTAATGGTAGCAGGGATATATAAAATATGTGAATTTGGGTTCATGCGTTAGTAAAATAAGCCTGTCTGGTAGTTCCCCTCTTGGTAATTAGTGTCCTATAGGCATCTGCTTCACTGCAAAAAAAAATGCATAAACCATGAAAAGATTAAATATAATTATCATTATTTCCATTTCTAGGGCAAGGCCTTTTCATAAATAATCATGTCTCAGTGTAAAACTGGAGGTTTTAAACAGTTGCCCTATCATTCATAATAATGAATAAGATAAAAAGCCAAACCTTCATATGCTCATTAGATAGTGAAGACTAATTAGGACTTCAACCAGAAATGCCACAATACATCATGCTTACAGAGGTAATTAAAGCACTGATGATATTAAGACATATATTGTCTCCCACATCTGCAAATAGCACAATGCTGGCAAATTTACTTTACATAAAACCATATTCTTTTCAAGTGAAGTTAGAGGGATCTATTTTGTGTGTCAGGCCTTCACATCAAAGTCCATGTGTTCCATCTACACACTTGGTGTCAGAAAGAACCTAATTTTCTTCTCACCCTGTTCTCACCATGTTTAATGTTGTGCAATTCAACAGAGTGCCTTCAGTGTAAGACTACTGTAACTGAGACCTCTGTTAAAGTGACAAAACATCATCTCTGCATGAAAGTCAAAGATCTTTTTTCCTTCAGCTGGAAGAGGTCACTGAAAAGACTCACTGGCAAGACAGACTCAGAACAGCCAACGGAACCAACTCCCTGCTCAGTAAATTTTCAGATGAATAATTTCAGATGGAATGGAGTTTTCATGTGCTTCATGATTCAAGGAGCTGCCTTAATATAACCAGAAGCCTACTTTTTCATATCTGTCTCTGAAAAGCTACTTTTTCTTCTAGCTTTCTCAAAAACAATACATCGGCCAGGTGAGCAGGTGGTGTTTTGAAGACATGGCTCACCATACTGTAAAAATGGTATCAGTCTCTCATTTTTCCTTCCTCTTTGTTGACTATCATCACTTTCCTAACTGTAATTGTGACCTGTTGACTATCATCACTTTTCTAATTGTAAAGACTATATAATGTGTCAACTTTTCTATTTCTAAGTCTGTATAAAGCATAGGCCATGCCTGTAGCTCATTGGTACTGCTCCTATGCAAATAACATGCATTAATAATGGTAAAGTCATGGCCAACATTAAATGCCTTAATTTATTTCAGGAATATTTTGCTAATTTGTGAAAATAAACATTTACATGCATGTTGAAAATAAAAAAAAAAAAATGCAAAGAACCATTCAAGCATCTAATGGTTCTCTCACATCACTAATAGTTTAGAGAACATAAAAACACAAGTAAAGGTTTCAATTCCAGGTTTCAATTTAACCTAAAAGACAGCTAGAAAATGTTAATGTGCATTATTTAAGAACTCAGATTCCTACCAAGAAAAAGTGTACCCCCAAAAAATCTGTAATTTTGAAGGGTTCCTACCACATTTATTCTTCAAACTATGGACTGTATTCAATTCAGATATCTGCAAGGTTAATTTGCAGACAATCTTAGAATTATAGACTATTACTGAAAAAATGGAACCAAAGAACATTAACCATCCCTTTTGGCAGGCAAATTCCCCAATATAGCAACATACTCAATAAAAAATCAGTGAGCAGATTTTTAAGGCTATGTGAAGAATTTTAAATTTCAGCTTTACTTTTCGTTCTGGATAATTTGGCTGATTTTCTTGTAATACATTTAGTACTCAAAAAAAATATGTTTTTGAGGCATTTACAAAACATTAAGGTAACTAAAACATACACTGACTAAAAATGAAGTGGGAAAGGGAAGAGGGAGAGGGAGACTGGAATATCTACCTATTTTTCAAGCAATATTCTCAACTGTGAGACAGAATTGAAAGTGACTGCCATGGATATCCAATTCTAGTCTCTAACGTTGGCAAAGATCTTCATAAACTGTAGCTGTCTGCTTCTGAACTGCCCACAGAATTATTTCACCTTGGCAATCTGACTTTGTTTCACTAATGAAAAAGATCTTGTGTGTTTTCTTCTAGCAAAGAAAAATGTTAACACACATATGTTCTTTGTCACACTTCTTCTGGCAACTTGTTTTAGTCTCTGGTTTAAACAAGAACTTGTTTTGTTCACAACAGCACACTCTGCAAGAACAGCGGAGGTGGATTAGTTCCATCTCTCCCTGGGGAGCAACTCCCAAGAAATTCCTTTCTTCTTCCCACAGTTGGACAATAGGCTTCCAAGAAAGATGGTACGTGAAGCCAACCACATTCTTGGTAACAAGGCAGCAATGTTTTCTGCAGTTCAGCAGCTTGTCCACGTGTAGGTCCAGCCTGAGCACTGGAGGAAAGAAGGATCATCAGTAATCGTAGGGTAAAAAGGAAGGAAGGAGGGAAGAAGGGAAGGAGGGAAGGAGGGAAGAACTACCAGCTTTTATAACTGTTGGCATTCCAGACAGCCACGGGGAAACCAGTAAACCCAGCTGTGAGGCAGGGAAGTTTAAGGAGAATATGTTTTAAGATTAGTTTCTATCTTACAGATTTTTAGTTTCCTGCCTTGGATAAGAATCAACAGAAACTGAATACTCTTGTGATTTCAAGACTACATCCAGGCCAGTGCCCTCGAGTTCACAGGGAGCAAATGTTCCAGCTTTGTCACTGTGCTGTGAACACAGCTGAATTCAGTAGCAGCTCAATAAGTCTACTGATGAATGAGAAAGACAATTTAAAAAAATGACAGACTCTGTTGTCCAGTAACATAGCCCTGTGATGCTTTGCTATGCTTTATAATTTAGTAAACTAGTATGAGCACCTTATCTAAAGCACATTACATATGTTGTTAGGCATAATAATGCATATGGTATGCTTCATTTAAACAATCAGATACACCTATTACTAGTCATTTATTTTGCATTTTGTTATTGATTGTTTTTTATGTTGCTGGGTAAGATAAATTAATCTAGCTGACAACATTCTTGCATTATGATCAGTTTAAAATTTTCAGCACAGAGTAGGTGCTTTCAACTACATTTTCAGTAAGAAAGCTGGACTGATGGATCCAAGTAGTATGAGCAAGTGTGCTTGTTGCTGAAAAGCTATAACCAGCACTATAGCTACAGAAGTGTTAAGCACCAAGTTAGAGCTATGCCAAGGAACAGTAAGAAAATCAAGTGTTCCACTAATCACATTGAGCTGAACTTTCTCCTCTTGTACTTGCTTTATCAGACTTTATATCCCAACATTGTTTGCCCTAGATTCATCCTATTCCTGCAACTTGCAGTTATTAGTTTGAAAGCTGTCTATCAAGACAACAGAAATCTTCCTGATATAAAGAAACAAAAAAAAAAAAAAAAAAAAAAAAAAAAAAAAAAAACACCACTAAGTAAATAAATCCCTTACTCCCAATCTGGAGTCCCAAGGCAGAAAAATAACAGAAATCTTGAGATTAGATTTTTCTAGAGGTTTTTTAGAGACTTATCAAAATTTTATACCCATTCCTGGACTTATTCAACTCTGTTATTTTGATGAAAGTCTCTTAAAATAAGTTTCTCAAGTGGAAATGGCTTAAGAATTTCCCACACAAAGTTCCTGCATCAACCTTAAATGAAAACAATCCTTATGGTATGCAACCTACCACTTTAGAGAGTACAGAAAGAAGAACCTAAGCAAGTTCCTTCCACCTCAAACTAATGTGGACCAAATTAAGATAACTGTAGGCATCACAGATGATTGGCTTCCTCAGAGACAGCACATATAAATCCTTGTGCATCTTCTTCAGGCACTGAAAGAACCCTTCAGCAGCAAACAAAATTTCCCATAAGATGCATCAAACTTGATTTCTCTTTCTTTCTATTCTCCCAGTTCATTTTCCATGCCTTGCCTTTTTACTTATTTTCTATCTCCCCTTCCTTCTTATCCCAGGCACCATTGTGATTATCAATTAGAAAAAGCTATTAAGACTTCTGGCTTTCAGCTGCCCTCACATTAGGAGACTGGTTCCTTCCTAGGTTCAGGCTACATATTAATTACTGTTTGAACTTTAGCCTCACACAAAAAGAAAAAATGCCGAAAACAATGCCTGAAAGAAATGAGTTTACAATGCAAACAGAAAATAACCTTCTAATTTCCATAAAGTGTGTGAGACTTGTTAAATTCTTACAATAAAAACAGACCTTGGTTTAAAATACCGCATTCCAGAAATAATAGGTTAATGTGACTAAACGTTTGATTCATATTTTGGTCAAATTAGAACAGTATTCAGGAGGCAGGTCATTGCTGTCTCCATTCTGTGAATTAATAATTCCAATGGAGAGCACAAAATGAAGAGCTTTGGTCAAAACAGCAGTAATGGCAAACTTCAGATCCAGTGCTGACCCGTGATGTACTACTGATTGTGGAAGAGCAAAGCATGCATGGATTCATATATATGTGTATGTATATTCAGTTCTGCATGTATATGACTATGGAACATTGGCTATATAGCCGCAGCAGAAAATGTTCTTTCTCCCTCTCAATAAAAAACAAAGATTATTTCAGAACAATATTTGGCTCTGTTGACAACCCACATCATAAGTCTACAAAACCTTTCATCTACTGAAAAATTGTTTAATAATATTCTTGTCATCTACTTCAGTGCTTATTAATTGAATGGAAAAGTCTCTGAGCCACAGGGCACACAGGAGATATCTGATTTCTTTCTGCATTATGCATACACAGAAGCAGCTGAGAGCTGCAAATTTTTCCTTTAAGGGGACTCCCAATGGGCTATTTAAAGAGACACAGTTAAGGCTGGCACTAGTAAAATGAAATTTTGGTACCTTAAAATTTGTCTCACATGTTGTTGGGACAATTTGTCCCATATGCCATCAGAATGTGCATAATGCTATAGACATGCTTTAAACCTATGCTACCAATATTCCTAATTTGGAATAAGAAGAAAGCAAATTTCTTTGTATACATAGGCACACAGATTTATTTAGTTTTCAAGGTGTTAGAAAAACAGAACAGACAGCATAAGGATGTTTTGTTTTAACCTTTTTGGTTCAGGTCGACTGTAAAATGTCACACACACACAAAAAAAATAAAATGAAAAGGTATTAGAGAATAAAAGCAGAATGATCAAGAGGAATCAGCTGAAACTATGCCTGAAAACAGAAGTAAACATTTCATTTTGAAGTGAGTCAAAACCATATATTTACAATGGTCCAATTGACTTAATATTGCTTTGGGAAGAAAAATAACATGTGATAATAGCTATGAAAATGTAATAGCAATTTATATCCAAAGGCTCTTACTCAGGGCAAAATCCCAGTCACTGAAGACAGAAGGAACTTTCCTCGATAGAATCATAGAGTTTGCCCTTGATAGACCTCAGTACAAACAAGATTTCATCTTTGTCATCACCACAAGTAGATCTAATCTAACATTAAAAATTCTATCTACAAGGAAATGAGAAAGCACAAAACTAACACAAAGTATAATTAAATAGCTTTGGGTAAATTAAAAATTTGTACAAGAGAAAAACAAAGACCAGTTTTCCTTATTAAATCATTGCCAAATTGTTACCTAACACTTATTAATAACGGAGATAATTTAAGGAGTTTAATTATGGTATAAAAGATAAGTGTGTAACACCAGCAAAGGTAAATTAACACAGTTTAGCACCAGTAAAACACTCTGGCAAAAGGCAATGTCTGAACCATTTAAGCTAAATATAGCTGCAAGCAACAATCACATATTGATGTAATGAAAATGCATACAATATTTTTTTGTCCATAATTTTTATTTTGAGATAAACAGTCTGTTGCCTACTGAGGATGGTCTTTTCTGTATATCATCCCATCTATGTATACATCAATTCCTTCTTCAGCAACATGTACTAAGGTACTCTAGTATCAGTGCAATAACTTGCTCTGTTAAAAGCTACAGTATTGTAGCTCAATATTGTATTCATTGGCATAATGGCCTTTTTCAGTCTTGTGAGTCTGTTTCTAACAGCACAGCAGAAGGTTTAAGAAATCTTTCCTGTTACAACACAATGTAAATGTAAAAAGAAATGTGTTATAGAGATGTAGTAAAGCAACTTATGCACAACTACAGAAATAAATGAGGGCATAAGCAATTTAAAAAAAGATGCTTGAAATGAAGAATAAATTTTAAAAGCAGGATTTCATTAAAGACCCCAACACTGCCATAAGGCCCCAGTGACATTTACTGATGATATAGTGGTAGGGTGTACTGCAATAGAAAAACAAGTGGGCTATTTCCTTTAACAGAAATAAGATAAAATGTAATTGCACAATTCAAAGAGTTGGTGACAAATTAGAAGCAAATTTGCCATATTCTGGGAGTCTCGTGGTTGAACAAGACTGAGAAAGGGGCAATTTGATTTTAGTTGAGAATTATAAAATGACCATGAGCTCCTGATGCCATGAAGCTGTAAATTAAGGTGAATACATCATAAAGTATAATATACAGGTAGATAAAAACAGAGAAGTGTTAAGGGGTTTTAAAACAAATGCTCATACTTCTCTGTCCAGAGTACAATTTTAGTGAACCATGCCTAATAATAACAACTCAAACAGGTCATAATTTCTGAGAATATACAACTCCTCCTACTGTATAAGAAACTTACAAAAACATCTAGGAAGTTTTTGGAAAAGAAAAGTGAGATCCATTTTTAAAGCTACATTATTCTATCTTTACATAAATAAATATTTTCCCAGCTTCTGTGTTAATATTTTTAAGATGTTTATTTGGATATCAGCTAATACCTGCCTGTATCAATTTGACTGTAGCAAGATTCCTCTGTAATTTCTTATCTGTTTCATTTTGTTTTTAATATGTGTTCAAAATCTGCAGTCCATCTGTATCAGCTCTCCCTCACAGATTTTCCCTGCTCATTAATCTATTAACGCTTAATTAATTCCAGTCATCAGAGTATATTAGTTGGAATACACCATTAAACATAATTTACAGTAACAATACCTCCAACTAGTGAATATTTGAGGACTTGAAATCAATTCATTTTTTACAGAACTGCACAACCCAAAAAAACTCTGCAGCTCATCAGGTGGTCCGTTTCTTACTATTCATTCCTTTACAGCTTTACATTAAGTGCTTCTTCATTCATTAAAAGATTCTGTACTAGTTGTATTCACAATTCCAAGAGATATAGAGATATACAGATGTATATCACAACTGTTTATACCTTAGCATCCAGGATTACTTTCTCAGAATAAAGGAATCACCACAGTTAAATTTTATGTAACTCTATAAGCCACACTGCATACTGTATCTTTAAAAGATTAATCAGAGCAAGGTTTTTGTTTCAGTCTTGACATTAACATTTACTAAAAAAAAAAAAAAATTGTCCTCAGTTGTGGGTTGCCATTTAGATATGTTTACTTACATTAATTTTCATCATCTGCTGCTAGAGTATGCCAGAGGAGTTTGTTCTGTTAAATGCAATTACAATCATTTGAGACACATGATTATCAAAAATTCTCTTAACTTAAACTCTTTTATATACATATACATAACATTAAAAATAATAATAATAATAAAAAACTATATATATATATAGTAACTTAAGTTAAGAGAATTTTATATATATAAAGTTCCTATTTCATCATGGGAATTACCTGATATTACTTGCTAGTTACATTAAAATATTTTCACCTTTCTATTAAAACTGCATTCAGACCCACTTCCAAAAAGGCAACTTCCAAAACCCAAAAGCAATAATTTAAACTTTGTTTCTAGTTACTAACTATTTCAAAATGTTTCTTCTGGTGCTTACTTTAGATCTCTTCAGGAGCACCTTATATCTATACAATACCTATATTAAGTATCTAATAAGCTGGTGAAGGAAAAGGTCATTTTTAGGAAAACAGATGACCAAGATCAGGTAACAAAAAAAAATACTGCATCCTACATCTAAATGTGGGATAGCTTTCAACAATGAAGTTTAGGGAATTTTAGTGAAGTGAACCAAACCTCTCAGACACTGCTGCTCTTTAGTTCTTATACAAATTTTCCATTGATAGAGTCTGATATTATTTCTCCTTGACTCTTCCAATTAAGATTCATAAACTAAACAGCTCAAAGCAAAAGAGCCAAAAGAGAATCAGTAATCTATGTTACAATAAATTACCGATTCTCTTTATCTATGTTACAATAAATAAACAAAAAAGAAAGCAACCTAGAAATTTCACTCCAACTATCGAACTTTACAGTGAAAGTAAAGCAAGAACTTCAACCTTATTTTTAAAGTTGAAGCACTTAGTTTCAATAGCAAGAAGCTGAATGTTTTCTCGAGCACTCAATTAAAAAGGTTGTGTCACTGAGTCCATATTTATGATATCTTCAAAATTCTCCACAACTAACATAAAAGTCTAACTTTTTTACCTGATTTACATACTTTTTTTGAGACTTGTGATGACAAGAAGAAAGTGAGAAATTGTTTTAGATTTTTGTTAATGCACCTGCAAAGGAGTAATCACAGCTGAACATCCTCAGAAAAAATGACTTCAGTGTTTGCTGTCATCCCCACACTTATTTCCAGTCTCTGGGCTGCCCTCTGGACAATCAGGAGGCAAAGCAATTGCTGTTCAGGCAACTGCCCTTGCCAGAAAAAATAACAGACAGTGAACACTACAAGCAATTTCTAAGTAGAGTTCCAGTTATTTGCTGCCCTTTTTCCACATGCTTTGCTCTCCCCTAAAATAGTGACACCTATCTTAGTATCTACATTCATACCCATATCCTTCCAGCCTCAGGCATTAGCAATACCTTCTGCTTTTCTAGTCCTAATGACAAGAGATTACTTGTGCTAACCTTGAACTCCCAGTCTCCTCCTTTTTAACAGGTTTTAACAGCAGCTTTGCTTGGCATGAGAAAGGCTTTTTCCAGCAAATTAACCCTCCACTTCCAAAGGGCAGGAATAACAGCACAGACCACACCTAGTTTTCTGCCATTTGCTAAATCAGCTCCTAGGTCACTATTGTCATTTGTGACTCCTCTGCCAGCTCTGCTGGCAGGTGCCCCCAGTATCACAGCCTCCATCCTCCCAGAAAAAAACACATCCAGTACACATGGGAGCATTCAGTGTTCCAGTTGCCCTTCAGCCTCACATGAGGTTTGCCCATGCTGCAGGCTGTCCTGCAGAAAGAGCGGCACACAGCGTGGCCAGGTAGTATAAGGAATAGACTCGCACAGTGTTGTTACTGGAAGGATGCTGCACTTCACCAATTACTTGTTTTGTTCAAATGAAGAGCTTCTGCTGGAACACAGATTATCCTTATTAATTATCCTAATTAATTAGGTTAATACAAGTTTCTGTCCTAGCTGAAAATATGTAACAATTTTTCAAGTCTAACTATTAATTATCCTTGTAGCAGTAATTTGTTTTCTCTGATTGGAAGATTATAAAATGAAAGATCTTGCAACAACAACAACAGAGAATGTTTTTCAATTGTTTGCTTGTTTATTTTCTCTAGCCAATGCTTGTAAACTGCAGTGGCAGTAAGGCCCCCACGTAGGAACTTACCAGCTGAGCACTTTAAGGGGAAGTCAGGTGAAACTGCTCTTCTTCTTAATTACATCAAATGTATGACTTCAGTTCCCTCCTAGCTTTCTGTTGCTGTTCTTTGTTGGGTTGTGTTTTTTTGTTTGCTTTAGCTTAAATTCCACTTTGAACATATGTTAAGGACACTCAGATTTAAGAGCTGATTTTTCAGTGTTTTTTGTTTTTTTTTTTTTTTTAGAAAAAAAAGCTTTTCTATGAAACATGGTAAGTATTAACTTTGGAGAAGTCTAGAATTAGTCTCCTATATAACTAATGATGATATTGAATGGTATGGATTTTTTTTCTCAGTAAGGTGAATTACATGACAGAAGCAAGATCAAATATATTTATACATTAAACTGATTAATAAAAAATACCACATCAGTTTTATGTTCTGACGACTGCAGCAAGAGCATTTGGGATTCCAAATGCCTGTTTCCCAAATTCTATATTTGAATCTATTTTAGCCAATACCTCTTACCATTGTACTCTCAGTTTTCCTTTCCACAGAACAATGAACTTAACTTTCAGACATTCATTGCTTAAGTTTGCACAGACACTCATTTAAGTATTTACAATTTGCATAAATTACAATGGAAAGGGGGTTTAAAGTTATTTTTCTTTAAAATAGAGTCTAAAAGAAAAAATAATTACTTTGTTATTTGAAGTATGTTGTAAAGGTTCACTGAGTAGATGAATGTCTTAGAATGAAGCAGTAGCTAATTCTGCACTTGGACGCTGACACATATTTTGAAAGCATCATGAGAAGTGCATATTTTCTCTTTACGTATGCCCCAAACTCAGGTACAACATTGAAAAGCAGTTAGAAAGTGATTAAAAAAGCAGTGAGCATGGGTGTAAGAGCACCACATTTGAAAAGCTGCCCCAGTGACAAATGTGGCTACTCACTGACATGGCCACAACTTCTGTCTGTCTCCAGGGGGCAAGTGGCATTGGTCTGCCAGAAGCATCCACCATTTGATCCTAATACCAGTGTGTTGGGTCTGTCTGAGCTGGAGTCACCTTTTCCCTGCAGCAGCCCACACAGGGCTGTGCTCTGCACTCGTAGCTGGAACAGCACCGGTATCACTCCAGTGTTGTGTCTATTGCTGCATAGTGCTGGCACAGCATCAGGACTCCTTCCAAGCCCCCAAGAGCCAGCAGGCAGGGGGTGGGCAAGTGATGGGGAGGGGACATTGCCAGGGCAGCCGACCTAAACCAACCAAAGGGATATTCCATAACACCTGATGTCACACTCAGCAATAAAAAGAGAGGCTCTCGTGGGGGAGGGGGCTGTCCTCCTGAACAACAACTACACATTTTGAGGCCCTGCTTCCCAGGACGTGGCTGAACACCACTCATTGATGGGAAGTAGAGAATAATTATTTTTTCCCTCTCTCTGTGCTTCCGCGCGGATGGATTGTTTCTTTTGTTTCTTTTCCCTTTCCCTTTAATTAAACCTTTCTCATCTCAAGCCTCGAGTTCTCTGTGTTGTATTTTCTCCCTCTTCCTCTTTGAGGAGAGGGGGAGTGAGAGAGCGGTTGTGGTGGAGCTCGGCTGCCCACCTGAGTAAAACCACCACAACCAGTCAAGTACTGCACAAGTAAAGGTTCTAAAAATTACCAACCTTCACTGAAATTCTTAAAGAAATTGGGATACTCTGCTTTTAGTTGCAGCTTACTGGAAACAGATTTTTATTTTTTTTTTAGCCTAGGGAAACTCAATTTCAGTGCACCAATATATATCTTTCTGTAATACTGTGCAACTGGCTCCAGTGAGGGAACGCAAACAGATATCTTCCCTTAAATGCAATATTCTTGCTCACCTGAGTTGAAAAGGAATAATCAGTGGCAGATATGAAATTGCTCATTTTTCCATTTAAAGCAATACCTTACAAACTATCAGGAAGTCATATATCCCATTCATCTTATACAGTGTTTTGCATCTTCCCAAACGCACTGGAGTGCATACATAATTCACACATAGGAAATATTGAATAAAATGTTCATTTTGCAAACAACACATGGCAAATAAGCCTTTATTTGCTCCTCTTGTGTTATGCTCTCTTTCTCTTTGAAAAATACTCTTCTGTGTAATTTTTGATCCAATATTTCTGTGGTGTTATTGTTCTGCTACCTTACCTGAGTAAATTGCATATCAAAAATATCAGAGGACGCTTACTTGCAGCTACATTCTCAGCAAGAAATATATGCAACGAATTCACTGCTGAGAGATTTATGTGATTCTAATCAAAAAGTGTCATAATAAAATGTTTACAATGTAAAATGAAAGATCTTGAGGTTTTTGAGGTAGTTGGATGGGAAGTTTGCTGCTTGGCAGAGCTAAGCTTCTATGAATGTTTATGAATTATTCTACTGGAAAATGAATGATGGGCTGTAATAGTCTTTGTGTACGTGTCACTATTCCCTACTGCACTGTGATGGGACTATCCATGTATAACAGTTCATACAGCAGAGTTGCAGCTTTTTCCTTCTTCAGTAGATGCTGGAGTTGTCAGAGACAGACACTTGCTAATGTCTATTTATATGCATTTGATTCCAGATATTTGCCAGTTCTTTGCAGACGAAAGGGGCAGAAAATGGAGTTCAAGAATAAATAAATTTGATATCCTAAAAAGAAGGAAAAAAAAAAAAAAGAAGGAACGATGAAGCTTATTTTAGGACATCTCCATATAGCGGCATCATTCATCCACTACAAACCGTAACCCAGGCATGAAATGACATTCAGTCTTTGCCCAGTCAGGGCACATGTGTGTCTGTCAGTGTGTGTGTATGGGGGTGTCAGTTCTGGGCTGTTCCCTATTACAGACCCTAGCAGAGCAGTAGGCATGAAATGGCAGGGTAGCTGTCCTGGGCACTCACTGCCCGGAATCAAGGAAGCATGCAAAGAAGAGTTTCAAATGTCAATGGAGTTTCTGCCTCGGAGTGTACTTCAGCTAACTCTGAGCCAGGAATTCCTCCAGAGCCAGCAGCTGTAAGCACCCTTAGGACCCACTCTGTTCTGCTGGATCACTGAGCCACAGATCAGGCTGCTGTTCCATAAGATAAAGGCAAATTATTTTTTTTTCTAACTTCAGAGCACGGCTGCAGCATACAGCTTAAGAAATCCTCATTAGCAGGACCTTTTAAAAAAATAAGTGAACAAAATGAATAGAAACATTTATACAGCAAACTATGTGCAGGTATTAGAAATGGTTTCTGTATTTCACTTTTTCAAATGAGAGATGGCACAATAGGTGACAGTACATTCAGTAATTGCATGGATTGCAGCTTCCCTCATGTTGTTGCTGGAAAAAGGCAAGTTGGTGCCTGGAAGTTGGTCTCAATTTCTGTAATGCTCATTAGAGCCTCTTTGAGCTGTATGACACTCAAGCAAACTTATTCCATTGCTGTACTTTCCCTTTTGTATTTGCTAAGTTGTTAGGAGGCAGTATTTATGAAATATTGCAAACTGGGCTGGGTGCAGCTCCGATTTCCTAGTCTGCCACAGGTCTCATTAAAAATGGTAGTCTTGGGGTAATTTAGAAAACAAAATACTAGACAGTATTTTACTTAGTAGACAGGTCCTGAGATGCAACTGCTTGTGCTACATTAAAATTTCTCTTTACAAAACAAAAACACAAATGACAAACTCCAAGGAAGCATTGCGGAACATTTTCCTCTCCCAAACACATGCAGTGGCTGCCTTCCTCATGCCTTGAGCCTGTGAATTCTCATAGTACTGTGCAGCATACAGCAGCTTCAGCCATCTCAACGTTTTGCTTTGTTTTAGTGCGTAAGTACATACATTTCACTACAGAACTCAAACATATAAAAACTGAAAAAATCAGGTCACAGCATAGTTGAAAATTTCAAAAGAAAGTCTGCATGTTTGTTTATTTGAAGAAATATTTGTGTAAATGGGCTTCTATAATCATACACGCTACAATAACACTGAATCAACAGCACTGGTACACCTTTGACATTAGTTGTTTTCATATCCTTTAATGTGACAGTAATTAAAATTAATTCATGCAGATTCTCCTTTAAATATACTCCATTAGCAAGGAGTATTTGTCAAATCTACTTCCAGCACACAATGTCTAATGATATCCCTAAACATTAAAAGCCCTAATCTTGTAATTTACTGCTCAAAACAGTTTACATGGAATAGTCTAATAAACTGCAAGTAGTGAATTAACATACATCTTGTACGTGGAATAATCTACCAGAAATTCATGCATATTTAGTAACAGTGTGATACAATTAACTACTGTGGACCTGCTGAAATGGGAAGTGGCTGTGATGTCATGATCTAGACAAAAAGTGTTTTGAATACTCTCAACCATTAACTGTTTCATAAGGATGTATAATTTGTGCATACAGTTCATGACATGAATACAACTAGAAATTCTAATAAGCGCCATAGCTGAAACAGCTGCAGACCTGGAGAATTGTATTATTTGCCATCCCAGTATTATTCAATACATTTATTCAATCAAACCCAGCACTACCCTATTAGGCACGTTGCCACCACGGTGGTGAACAGAACCTAATTCTCATATCAACACAAATGTTAAAAAATAAAAAATCCAGCTACATTATGTTATAACCCCACACATACAGAAAAGAAAATTTATTAGGCCAGTATTTATGTGAAATGTTACATTTTGACTCAGTGGACATTAACTACAACTTTTGGGTTAGATCCTTGATAAACTCAAGGTTTCTACTGTGCAGCTCCAAACTCAGTGTTCAAGGATTAGTAAGCGGTACTGAGAATGCAGAACATTCATAGTATTTTACAGATAATAAGGCTAAAAGATTGCTATGCAGAAATAAATTAAAAAAAAAAAAAAAAAAAAAAAAGAAAGAAAATGAATGAACTACTAATACCTGTCATCAAGAAAAAGTGTATAC